CCTGACATCAGACTATTCTTCTCTCTCTTTTTTTAAAAGAGGATTTTATGAGGTTATTATATGAGCCAAACTGACTATATTTGCCCAGGAGCAAGATCTCAAATGCTCCCACCACTGAGCATTCTTAAGTTGATGGTCTCTACTCATAGACAACAGATGATTTTTTTAAGGATAAGTGTGTCCTATGCAACTTTCGGAACATACTTATACTAGAAAAAATAGTTTGTTGTTTTCTGCAGTTCAAATTTAAGTGGACATGCTGCATTTGAACCCTGGCAGACCTTGGAGGAGAGATGCTCGACCAGGGACGCTGGCGTGCCCCTGAAATGCAAGTCCACATTGACAGCCTGGGAGGCTCAGAGCTCTCGGCACTGCTAGCAGGTGAGCTTCAGAAGCTGTCCTGGGTTCTTCTGGCTCCTGCCTTTGTCCTCCTGGCCTCTCCTCCCTGACAGCTCCTCCTGCTGCATGCAGGAATTGTGCACATGACGGGAATGAATGTGACAGCTGGCAGTGCAGATGGGAGAGGCAGGGTTTAATAATAAGACTTTATGACTGGGAACAGTAAACTACTGCTTGTGCGCCAAATGCAGCCCCATTGCTTGTTTTTGTAAATAAAGCTTTATTGGCATGCAGCCACACTCAGTCCTGACACGTTATCTATAGCCACTTTCCCACGGCAGAGGCAGAGCTAAGTGGCTGCCATCTGCAGAGTCTAAAATATTTACTATCTGGTATTTTCCAGAAAAAGTTTGCAGATCCTCCTCTAGACAATGAATCGTTTTCCACCGAAGAACAAATGTTTCCCAGCAGTTGGAAATGCCATTGCAGGTTGTCCAGGCCAGCGATGCCCAGATTTTGAGATCTCACATGTGAGTAAAATTAAAAAAAAAAAAAAAAATCTGAGAAATGGTCATAGGGTCTCCAATTTTTACTTTTGCCAAGTATCAATAACTTCAAAAAAGATGACATATTAGCTACTTCATAAAAAATATTTTGATGTGAACAGCACGTGAAACACTTACTGCATTGTTCTTCCTTTCATTTCTCCCAGGTTTGATAGAAACTTCATCACTGCCCAGCCACAGCTCATGGGCTGGATTGTGGAACCACTGACCTAGCCCAGCCTTAGGCACCAACTGCTGGCTCTGTCCAGGGAGACTCTGCTGGCAGAAGCCCCAGCCTTACCCAGGGCCCAGGCTGTTGCCCTTCGGCCAGAGGGGGTTTCTCTGAGGCTAGTTATTGTCAGAGCCACTCTGGGCGATTATGATGGGTCCTGCTTTATTTAATTAATAAATCCCCCCTGTACCCCAATTTTTTTTTTTTTTAAATATTTATTCATTTCAGACAGCGAAAGGGAGAGGGAGAGAGAGAGATAGAAACACCAATGATGAGAGAGTCATTGACCCGCTGCCTCCTGCACGCTCCCTACTAGGGATGGTGCCCGAAACCCTGGCATGTGCCCTGACGGGGAATTGAACTGTGATCTCCTGGATCATAGGTTGATGCTTGACTGCTGAGCCGCTCCTGGCTGGGATCCCCCCTGATTTTTAAAAGAAAGATGTGTTCAGTGCAGATAATTTGGAAGAAAATAAAAAGAACAAAATTCATCTTTACCTAGAGAGAGATCATGTTTTACTGAGACAGGAAAGCAAAAGCACTTTCCAACCTAAAATCCTAAAGGGACAAAGCCTCGCTTACCTCCCAAACCAAAATGGAGCCTGACACATGGCACGCGGCAATATTTATTACAAGAATAACTAAACCTAAATAACTGCTATTATTTATCTTTGATGACCCAAGAAAATTCAGTAAGTTTAAAAAAGTTTTTGATAATCAAAAGGCCAATATGGTAAGTCTTCCAGGCCAAAATTTTTTCTTGTATTTTTTCCCCCCCTCGTAGCACTGTTTTTCTTCCTGGGGCTTATAATTGCCCAGAACAACCATTTAAAGAAGCAAGACTTATGTATTTTAACTAGTTTTTATTACATTTTACTGTCCAAACAATTTACATCAGTTAAGTCTTTTATTAAACTGCTCTAATGATACATATAATGATCTTTAGAAACTGACCTGGTAAATGCTCATGATTTCAAAACATGCAGTTCCTAAGAAGCAAAGTTTAAATGATTGAATTATTTCACATTCATGCCTGGTCGCCTAAATGAAAAACATCTTAAATTTGATATTCAAAACAAACAATTGAGAATGTTTTTTAACTCTTCATGGATTGTCATCTTAAAATCTATGATTCGTCACTATTTCCTATGAAGACAGCATTCCTACCTTCTGTTTTGCAGGGCACTTCTGAGCCCCTTTAAGCAACTTATCAAGTTCACC